TAGAATTTAACCGCGTTTGTTTTGGTTTAAAGTCGAGCCCATTTCATGCGTTACGCACGGTGAGACAGCTCGCTCACGATGAAGGTCCCTCTTATCCTAAAGCTAAGAGGGCAATTGAGAGCGGATTATATATGGATGATTTTGTGTATTCGGTCGATAGCGTGGAGGAGGCCACCCTAACCACCGCCGAGGTTATAAGGCTCATGAAATCGGGTCAATTCGATCTTGTGAAGTGGACTAGTAATTCGCGTCCGGTTTTAGATACAATCCCACTATCACACCGTCTTTCGGCGATAAAGGAATTCGACGATTCCGATACACACAAGGTGCTCGGTCTGTGTTGGTCACCAGAGTCCGACGTGTTTAGCCTTAAGGTAAATCCGCCCGTAGAGAAATGCACAAAGCGCACAATACTGTCATGCGTTGCTAGATTATGGGACGTCATGGGTTTCGTAGCTCCGGTGGTATTATACGCTAAGCTTTTGATTAAACAACTTTGGTTATTTGAATGCGATTGGGATGACTCGCCGCCTGACAGCATTGTTCGATTGTGGCAGCGCTTTAGAGAGGAACTTCCTTTACTAAGAGAAATTAAAATACCGCGTCATATAAATGTCGATAGAAATAGCAGCATAACGGTTGTTGGATTTGCAGACGCCAGCGAGAAGGCTTACGGGGGGCGTTGTATATTTCCATGTCCAGAATAATGGTAGAAATTCGATTAGCCTCATTAGTTCTAAGTCGAGAGTCTCCCCCCGTAAGGTTGTCTCTCTGGCGCGCTTAGAGCTTTGCGCAATATTAGTACTCACCAAGCTTATTACCACAGTTATCGGCGCATGTAGGGATAGAGTTCACATAGAAAGAATATTTGCCTTTTCCGACTCCACCGTCGCCTTATGTTGGGTTCATTCTTCACCCCACCGTTGGGATACGTTTGTCGCGAACCGAGTGGCCAAGATCCAAGACGAGTTAGAAACGCGGAACTTTTATCACGTGTCCGGTAAGGAAAACCCTGCCGATTGTCTATCCCGGGGACTCACCCCGATGCAAATAATGGACCACCCGCTTTGGTTCCATGGACCTTCTTGGGTTTACTTGGATCCCTCACAATGGCCAATAACCGATTTCGAACCTTCGTCAGTGTCACAACCGCCGGAAGAGAAGAGACACGCTCTAGTGGCGAACGTTTCGAGCGAGGTTTCTCCAATCATTGCTCTGGCGAACCGCTTGTCCTCTTGGTCGAAATTATTGCGTAGCGTAATTTACGTTTGTCGATTCGCGAAGCTTTTACCGCGACGTCCGTATGTCTTAGCATCCGATTACAACTATGCCGAGTCGCTAGTATTACGTGAACTTCAACGTGCGCACTTCTCTGAAGAAATTACAAGATTACAATCGAATAGAGCTTGTAGTCGCGCCTTTCAACGCCTTAAGCCATTTTTACAGGATGGGATTGTAAGGGTAGGTGGACGCTTGTCCAACTCGCAATTGAGTTTCGACCAACGGCACCCTATAGTTTTACCGCGTAAAGACCATATCATGAACTTATTAGTCGATTATCATCATAAATTGAACTCGCACGCTGGCCCCGATTTATTGATGTCGATCTTGCGTCAGAATTATTGGATTCTTTCTGCACGTAGTTTAATACGCAATCGGGTGCACAGATGTATAGCTTGCTTTCGGGCACGCCCCAAGCCGTCATTTCCGGAAATGGCGGAACTTAGATCTTGTAGAGTGATACAATCGGTAAAGCCCTTCACGCACACCGGGTCTGATTTTGCTGGTCCGTTTAAGGTCACGCTCACTCGCGGGCGTGGTATAAGATCCACAAAGGCTTACGTCTGCATTTTCGTATGTCTAACTACTCGAGCAGTGCATATAGAACTCGTTGGTGATCTAAGCACAGCAGGCTTTATGGGTGCATTTAAAAGATTTCTATCGCGCAGAGGCCCTGTAAGTAAATTATATTCGGATAACGGTACGAACTACGTCGGTGCAAAACGTATTCTATCGGAACTACATGAGCTCTTAGCTAGCAAGTATTATAATTCGGAGTTCGCTCACATTCTAGCCGAGAACCGCATTGAGTGGTCTCTGAACGTCCCAGCCGCGAGTCATTTTGGGGGCAATTGGGAGACTAATATTAAAAGTCTAAAGAGCCACTTATACCGAGTAATAGGAGATCAAATTTTGTCCTTCGAAGAGCTAAGTACGGTGCTCGCTCAAATTGAATGCGTAATGAATAGCCGCCCACTTTGTCGGACGTTATCTAGTGACCCCTCGGAACCGCTGGCTCTAACTCCAGCACATTTTTTGACTTTAACGCCTCTAAGGTATCTGCCCGCCGCGGATATGGATGAGAACAGACTTAGCATTTCCACACGCCACAAATTATTAGATCGGTTAGTGCAATCGTTTTGGAAACGATGGAGGATGGAATACTTGCATACTTTGCAGTCTCGGCAAAAATGGAACACAGCGACAGAGCCTTTAGCTGTAGGAACCGTAGTTGTGCTCACTAAGGAGAATACGCCGCCTCTCCACTGGCCGTTAGGAATCGTCGAGGAGGTCTTTCCCGGTTCCGACGGAGTAATTAGGATAGCTCGCGTTAAGACCACGGTTGGGTCTTACCTACGTCCTGTTATCCGTTTGTGCCCCTTGCCTCTTCCATAATTTAAATTAGCTTTCTAGATTGAAATTGTAGTTTAATTTAGGTAATCTTAGCGTTAGTTAGTTATTTGTTAGTCGATCTTAGCTCTAGTTGTTTAGTTATTTTTTTTTGAAGGAAATCCTTCAAGGGCGGGGGGAGATGGTTGCGCGGAAAACCATTCGCGTTTTTTATTTGACGGTAGGAACTTGTAGAATCATTATTCCTTTCCAAACAATATCATTCGTACCCTCCTATCGACACATCGGGGTGGTGGGGTGGGAGGGGAAAGAAGACGATTCTAGAACATCGCGTAATCACCCGAGCCGAGGATATATAAGACACGCGCGACCGATGCGCGAGCCTCTTCTCCCGCCGCAGTCGTCGTTGAACCAACTCTTCTCTCCTGACGCACCACTGGGGCCCCAGAAGTGTCTGTCCAGAGGAGGTTCCGGAAGTCGCCGCTATAGTGATCGACAGGAAGAAGAAACCCCGGTGAGTCAATATTCCTTAATTATACCTGCTTGCTAATAGTTTAACCCGCTCCAATCTGTGTTTTTTTTCCTAGTCAAGCAGGATTCCTTTCATCGATTCGACAAGTAATAGTTTAGTTTAGGGAAGAGCGAGTGCATTGTACCGCATGCTATAGTAGTCGCTTTACGTAAGCGTAGAAGCAATCGCATATACAGTCCACTTTAGTTAATATCTCGCGTAATAGGTTTGAGGTTTGACCGGGGAACTAGATTTTCGGCAGCCTTAAACACGTGGCTCCACCAGCAATCTTTTACATAACTTTTTAATAATATTTAATATAATAATAGTATATTAATATATATAATAATAGTAAATAAAGAAAGTACTACATATAAAAAGTGCCTATATATTGAAGGCTTGTAGCCCCTGGTTAAACGAGCGAAAGGTCAATGTCCTTTTTTCTCGAATCGATTTGGCACAAACTATAGTTTATAGTTCAACATGTTTATCATCAATAATTCTGTACCTGATTGTGATGAGAAAATATAAATATAAATTCTATTCTATATTCTATTTACCACTTTTTTATTTTTAAATTGGAAGTGCCTATTAGGAAACAGACATGCATGAGTCCCCGTTTGGTCCATTTTTTATCATTCTACCTGAGTCTGCTTGAAGTTTGCAATGCTCTTTACCCTAAACGAACAACCCTTCAACCTACATACCTATTTCCAAAAAATTTAACTATTCATTTTTGTTGATCTCGATGGGGTGATCTTATTTATTACAATTTATGATTGTGCAGACTAAAATAATTATTTTAAGGTTCTGTAGAATAATTTAAATCACAGCCTATTGAAGTCCACTACTGAACTGAACCATAGATTGACTCATAGGAGGGATTTTGCTACAGTTGATTATTCCCTCTGTTGCTTCCTATGAAACCCATGGTATGATATGGGGTAGTAACCTACCTACCTATTTTTACACCGCAACTACATGGTAAAACAATTTAAATTAGTAAGATGTAATAATTTTTTTACTTCGCTTTTATTTTAAAATTAGAATATATTTTAGTTGTGATGTATTTATTTATTATAATTAGACTTGTAACAAATATTCAACTATTATTCAGTATTCAGCCTAATCAGATTTTTTTTTCCTATTTGGCCGTATACTGAATATCTGGATACATTCGGCTGTTTACCAAATACTTGAGTAAGATATTTTATTGTAGACAGGTAATTGGTAAAATAAAAATATTGATTTATTTTATAATGATGTATTTTTATTATAATAGAAAAATAACCATCAGATAAATGTCTATGCACTTGAATTATAAAGTGGAAGATTATAGTGCAGAAAGACTAATTTCCAGACAGTAGTTTACTAATTTTCTTCTTGTAGACAATCCAAGCTTCCGGGGATAGAGGTTCTGAATAAAAAATAGTACTTTCTTCCCATTTAACGATATGCCTAATATTCGGCTATTTGGCCAGAAATCCCGCAAAATATCCATTAATCAGGTTGCGGTCAAAAATACTACTTGTTGCAAGTCTAATTATTACGATTATTTGTAAGAGTGCATTCAGACCATTACAGTATCATAACTTCTGAGATTAATTGCCCAAAATATTGACCATGATTCTTCTTTAGAGAAACAATTCATAAGGAAACAACTCATAAGTAACAACCTACTGGTTAAGAGGGTGTCCTAACAAACTTACCATCATAGATTTCATTGTGCTATTTGAGTACTTTTGTAAACCAGCTCCTAGCACAAGTATTTTAACTTAAATATCAACTTGTACCACCTCACCGCCACTAATCTCACATTGTTTATATTATTCACTATTCACAGAATTCCTCACTTCCCTTAATATGATACTGGTGGCACCTGCGGCATCATATTATTGTATATATACTGGTTCTCCACTGGTTTCACTGGCTGCATTGGGGGATGGGTAATCACATTTGGTATCTGCTGAATTGGCTGAATATTTTGTTCCGGTGGTTTTTTATTCTTTTTCTCACACTTTTTGAACTTGATACCCAATTTATTCAGCAGTATTAACCTAAGTGACTCTTTACCGCCTCTGTAGTTGAGTTCATGCTTGGCCGCCGCCAAGATTTTTCCTAATGTGGGCACTTCTTTTCTATTTCCGTAACTGCTTACAATGCCTCTAAGCGCGCACAACTGGAAATAGTCTAGCTGTACCTTCGTCTTTCTACATCGCTTCTTCTTCGGCCCGGTCATTTTCGTATGAGTCGCTTCCGCACGAAGTCCATCCCTCTTAATTCTTTTTATCGTACTTTCCGAGAGGCCAGTAGCAGCACAAGCGCGCTTTACAACATTATCAACTGGAAATGCGTAACCCCTGTTTTGCTTTTCACTCTCGAAAAATTTTATTACTTTGAAAATGATTTCTCTTGCTTGACCGTCAATCGGTTCTTTCTTTTTCTTTTCGGGTTTAGGTTTTAGTTCGTCTGGAGCTGCTGGAGGTGCTTCTGCTGGGTTTGTTTGTAAGTTTATTTGATTGGGCACAGGAGGGGGTTGTTGTTGCTGCTGCTGCTGTTGTTGCTGAGGCTGTGGATGTTGAGGTGGAGGTTGTTGATGTTGAGGTGGAGGCTGTTGATGTTGAGGTGGAGGCTGTTGATGTTGAGGTGGAGGCTGTTGATGTTGAGGTTGATGTGGCTGCTGCGGCATTGGAATCAGAAGCTCATTCAAAATTGGTACTTCATGGAAGACCTTAGTTTCCATTATGGCAAAATCTTTAATATGGTTCACAAGAAGAAGTAAACTAGCAGTATTTAAAATACATTAAGTTCTTTATTGTATAGTAATCAATCATTAGAATATGTTTATTTACGATTTCAAAAAATGGTCTGGCCAGAAGAGATCCGCCATTTGTTTTATAGCATAGAGCATAGCATAGATTAAATCACAAACAATATATTTTTTTATTTAACTGGCTTTACGGCTCTGGGTTCTAGCTCTTCTGAGCCTATCATTTATTTCGTAATCTTCGTTTTTATATATTTTTTCTTCACAATATGCTGATGCGTCATATTGCAAAGTTTTTCGGTCATAACTTTCCATGTCAGTTGGACGCGAACAAACTGTAATAATCATTTAATATATTTTTTCGTAACGCTTATCACTCAAATATTAACCTTAACTTCTCGAAAACAAGATTGTATTCAGTGTACGTAAGACTTGCTGCCGGATCCCGCCTCATAACCAGTGAGTTGTCTTATTCATACACCTGTGTCACTACATTACGCATCCTACTTACGCATACGGTGTTATCGTGCCCACTTGCACAGAGTAGTAACAAGTTTAGACCACACAGCCATGTATCACTCACCAACAAAACGCTACGATAGTGATCCAGATCAACACGAAATGAGATTAACGTTTCGTAAGCGTAAATACGATGAGGATGCGTCGGATGTTTTTAGGGGTATTCCATATTATCCAAACTGGACACTATAAAAATTGACTTTGATGACAAAATATCGCAAATCAATGACAGCATAAACACCGTCATGAAACAAGATATATCAATGATACCATTATGGGGATGAAATCATATACTAACTGTATTCGAGAGGATTACCGCAAGATAAACACAAATATTCAAGAAAAGTGCAGTTTCTAAATTTGTGCTATGATTAATTTGATAAAGCGCATATGTAAATTTAGAGAGTTTGCATTTAATTTTTTCAATGTGTGACTTCCAGTTTAAATGTGTATCTACATTAAGTCCAAGCAAGTTGTACGAGTCTATTTCTTCTATTAGAATAGGGTATTTTGAAATTGAATAATAATTTTTAGGGGCGGTTTATTGATTGTTTATTTATGTTATTTGTATGGACGAAATTGTAAAACTTTTGTCTTTTTATGGTTTATTTCTAGATTATGGCTATCAAGCCAATGAGTGGCATTATGAAGTGTATCATAGATAAGCACTTCAGAGCTAATGTTGTCGTTACTTTTTATAAGTATTGACAAGTCATCTGCAAATGATACTGTCAGTGTTAATTCTCTATATAAACACTGGCAGGTCATTTACATAAATAAGAAACAGCACACAACCTAAAACGCTGCCCTGTGGGATTGAACTAGTTAGGTTTTTTTTTTAAAGAATATTAACAATACTATAAACATTACTAATATTCCCCTTAACCACCCGTGGTAAGCTTAAATTGCTTGTGTTACGAGTGGTTCACGCATCTCATTCAGTCGCAGTTCATGAAATCAGATACTAACTGTATTCGAGAGGATTACCGCAAGATAAACACAAATATTCAAGATTTACATAAAAAACAAGCCAGTCTGGAAAAAGAGATGATATCCCTTCAGGAATCGACACAATTTACATCGGATGAGCATAAAAAAAGTATACAGACACTATCCAGCACAAACAAAAATGTTGAGGAAATGCGCCGTGAAATTATTGAATTGAAAATTCAGAACACTGTGCTAAGAACAGTTATCAACTACAAAGAACAAATGGAGCGTCTTTTGAATTTAGAAATAATTGGTCTCCATGAGGATAAATGCGAGAACCTAACGAATATAATCATAGCCGTGGGGAACCAATTTGGAGTCCCGTTGGAGCATAACGATATTATTCAAGCAAACAGAGTAACACGACACAGTACGAGTGGTGATTATATGAAACAGACGTGTATTTTGTTGTCCTTAAAATACAATTACAGTTTTCCGCTAAAATAAGCATTAAACAGTAGTAAATAAGTTATAAATTTCTGCAAAGCTTAATGCATACATTAATTCAATAGTGACAACAAAGTTGTGTGGTATAAGTCATGAACTTAATGCGCTCACCACCCCGACTAAGTGGATCATTAACAGATTTAGGAACATCGAATAATGAGTTTAGTATGGAGCACCAAAATACCCAGAGAAAACGTAAGCAACCAGAGCATAGTTGCAACTGCAACTGTGCACAAGAACTTCAAGATTTCCGCAAAGATGTTACGTCAATGTTACGAAAATTCACAAACACCCAGGAAGCTACAATGAACTTCATTCGTGACAATATTACAGAAATGAAAACACAGGTAACCAACATTAAAGTGACTACCGACACTCTAAATAAAGACCAGATATCAATGAAGGCCCAAATATCAGACATAACTACAAAGGCAACAGCGGCGGATAGTAAAATTCAATCTCTTGAGGCAGAAATCGTTACTTTAAAAAATAATATGGCATTCGGTACGACGATGTCAACTTCTGATGAAAATGTTATCCAAGAATTACAAGAAAGGGTTACTAGGAAAAAAAATATAATAGTGGTAGGTACACGTGAATGCAAAACAACAAAAATTGATGAAGGCCGCGCCTATGACTTTAGTGAAGTCTCGAAAACTATAAACAGCTTGATACAAGAGTGCCCGAAACCTTCTCGAGTATTTCGTCTTGGTAAATATCAACATACAAAGGATCGCAACATTAAAGTATGCTTTGAATCTGCACAAACTGCAAAAATGCTGCTTCGGAATAGAGATAAACTTCAAGGTGGCATTATGATCTATTCAGATCAAACACCGGCCCAACATACTTATATGAAAAATCTTAAAAAAAGAGTTAGCACAGAAAAAAGCAAATGGAGAAAAAAGACATTACAATAAAATATATAAAAGGATTGCCAAAAATAGTTTTAAACAAAGACCCAAAAAACTAAATTTTCAATCGCTTCTTAACACCAAACGTCCTTTCATAGATGATCAAGAGAATATAACTTACCAAGTAATTAATAATTATCAGAATATTTCTTCGAATAAATCTAGTCTTAATTTTTTCTATGCTAACATCAGAAGCATCTGCAGATCAGGTAAATTTGACGAACTTAAGTGTGTAACCAACCCCAAAAAAGAATGGATTAATAGCAACATAATAGCTCAGATTAATGAAAGGAATATATCATGGAATAAATTTAAACAAAATCCTAAAAATAATAACCTCGAGCTAGATTTTAAATTTAAGATAGACACGCTGGCACAAACGATTAAGAATACAAAACAGAAGTATTTCTACGGAGAATTCATGAAATGTACAAAAAACCCCAAGAAAATGTGGAAATTAATTAATAATCTAGCAAATAATAAAATTTTAAGTAATTGTGTTCCCCCAAACCTTACAGATGAAAACGGAATAGTGACCACGGACCCCATAGAGGTATGAGAAACCTTTAATCGTTTCTTCGCTAACATAGGTATACAACTAGCAAATGAAATACCAGACAAGTTTCATAACAATGATACATACACGTTACCTAATCTACACCAAACAACTGCTCATCATGAGCTATCCCGATTTTCCCCATGCACAGCTAATGAAGTATCTAAAATCATAGATGACTTGGATTCAAATACGAGCACAGGTATTGATGGTATAAGTACTAAAGTCGTAAAGTGTATAAAAAATTATATAATTCATAATCTGACTGATTGCCTTAACAAACTTTTAAATGAAGGAGTCTTCCCAGAAAACTTAAAAATCGCTAAAGTCACATCAGTGCACAAGTCCGGTACAAAAACAAATCCCGGAAACTATCGACCAGTTTCAGTTCTGCCAATACTCTCCAAAATTCTTGAAAAAATTATTTACATGAGATTGGACGACTACCTTACTAAAATTTATTTTTATATAACCAACAATATGGCTTTCGACCCAAATCTAACACCCTTGGCGCAACTATAGATTTAGTAACCACTATTAAAACCAAAATTGATCAAAAACAGTTTGCTTTAGGTGTTTTTGTTGATTTAAAAAAGGCTTTCGACACGGTCAGCCATTCCATACTACTAAAACAACTAAAACGTATTGGCATTACTGGAAACGTATACAAAATGCTAAAGTCTTATTTGGATGATCGGTATCAGATTGTAACAGTTGGAGACTACCAGAGTAGTCGCAAGCCTCTAACATGTGGCGTACCACAAGGCTCAATTCTTGGCCCATTGCTGTTTCTGATCTACGTAAACAACATTCACCAAGCGGGACTACAGAGTCGCCTTGCTCTCTACGCAGATGATACAAGCTTATTTTATTTCGGGAGCAATGTCAAAGAAATAACTTCACTAATAATACTTCACTATTTGCTCCAATACAATCTATTAACAATTAATACTTCTAAAACTTCATACATAATATTTAGTTCCAAAAATAGAAAAATACCTGATCGACCTAAACTTAGCATTAACGGTGAGGTATTACAACAAGTTAACCAAGAAAAATACCTAGGCTTAACACTGGACAAAAACATTACATGGAAAGCTCACTTCTTGCTACATATTTATTTATCTATGGCTCACTTGCAATATATTCACAACAAACTATCCTCACTCGTGGGCGCACTGCATAAAATAGTTCGATATATATCGAAACATGCTCGACTTTTAATATACAATACGTTGGTGAAGCCTCACTTACTGTATCAAATCGAAATATGGGGTACTGCAGCTAAAAGTAATTTAAAACCAATACAAATATTACAAAATAAAATAATTAAAATCTTACACAACTATGACTTCTTAACACCATCGAAAACGCAAAAATTTTAAATATTAAACAACTTTTTAAGTATAATACATGTCTACTTATCTACAAGATAACTCACAAGCTTATATCATCTCACACATAACATTCACAACAAAAAGTCAAATAAACAAATATATAACCCACCGAGCCAGCAATTTTGTATTACCTGCCGTAAGAACAAACTGTGGAAAAAATAACATAACATTTGGAGGAGCACAGTTGTACAATCAACTTCCAAAACATGTGAAAGAAGCGACTTCAATCAATATTTTTAAAAGAAGATTATTTGAATATATTTATAATGATCAAACTATGCATTAAAATTATACTTGGACCACCGCCTTATAGTTGATAGGAACACAATGAACTCGCTTCTTGGTTAATGATCGACCGGTATAATTTTTATTTATTTTTTTACTACCCACACGCACTAGAATTATAATATAGATGTTATTGTTCTCATGTAAGTGACTTATTGTCTTAATGAGAAATAAAGTTCTTTAAACCGAAATATTAACCTTAACTTCTCGAAAACAAGATTGTATTCAGTGTACGTAAGACTTGCTGCCGGATCCCGCCTCATAACCAGTGAGTTGTCTTATTCATACACCTGTGTCACTACATTACGCATCCTACTTACGCATACGGTGTTATCGTGCCCACTTGCACAGAGTAGTAACAAGTTTAGACCACACAGCAATGTATCAATCACCAACAAAACACTACGATAGTGATCCAGATCAACACGAAATGAGAGTAACGCTTCGTAAGAGTAAATACGATGAGGATGTGTCGGATGTTTTTAGGGGTATTCCATGTTATCCAAACTGGACACTATAAAAATTGACTTTGAAAAATATTGACAAAATATCGCAAATCAATGACAGCATAAACACCGTCATGAAAAAAGATATATCAATGATACCATTATGGCGATACCGAAAGATACTAACCACCTAAAAAACAAGATTTACATAAAAAAACAAGCCACTCTGGAAAAGGAGATGATATCCCTTAAGGAATCGACACAATTTACATCGGATGAGCATGACACTATAAAAAAAGTATACAGAAACTATCCAGCACAAACAAAAATGTTGAGGAAATGCGCCATCAAATTATTGAATTGAAAAAGCAGAACACTATGCTTAGAACAGATATCAATTACAAAGAACAAATGGAGCGTCTCTTGAAATTAGAAATAATTGGTCTCCGTGAGGATAAATGCGAGAACCTAAAGAATATAATAATAGCCGTGGGGAACCAATTTGGAGTCCCGTGGGAGCATAACGATATTATTCAAGCAAACAGAGTAACACCAAAAACAAAAATCCAAGGCAGACCCAGAGTTATAATGGAAAAGTTAAGGTCAAGATTGCTGAAAGACAATCTTATATCCGCATCACACAAACGCCGCATTACCACAACTGATATTAACCTAAAAGGCGATTGTAGACCTATTTATATAATCGAACACCTGACTGTGCAAAATAAACAACTTTTAAATAAAACTAAGGAAACTGCTAAAAACGCGAATTCCTCTACACCTGAACCAAAAACGGAAGATTTTTTGTTCACAAAGCAGATACATCACCCCCAATACTAATAGCTACAGAAGAGGATCTAAGGAAGATTGTGTGAAGATTAGCGTTGAAATAATACTAAGTGCCCTATTTTTAACTTTCATACCCAGTTTTTTAAATATAAACAACAATTTTTTTATTTTCTTGTTATTTATAATCTTAATTTTTTATATGTGAATTCAAGGATGTCATCATAACGACTCATCCACATTGTTATTGTTACCTCTATGAACTGTATTACTCTGTGTCATCTACTAATTACGAGCTCATGGATAATGTACAAACCAATCGCGCAATTATTTTGCGTCGACTGAGGACAAGTATCGCGAGTCGGTAGATAAAAATATCATTATTTATGAACATTATTCGCGTACACGTAATACGATTAACATTTGCTTGCAGTATTATGGCTGATTATTATTATTGCAGAAATACTCTTTGCAATAACACATCAACTATTTACAATTACTACGCGAAAATTTACTTACTCGTATCCAAATTACCAAGTAATATTTTAGATAAAAAACTAAATTACTATAACCCAAACAGAACATTAATAGAATACCATTGTAAAAATCACAGAAACTCGCACCTTCTACATGCACTTTTTAGTGAGAAACCTAAACTCAAACAACTGAGACTTCTTGCTCGCGCCGGCAGCAATCTCGTTAAAGTATTATATTTTTTCAAGTATACCTTCTTAACTATAAATATTTTTCGGTCTTGACGAATTTACATTGCATGGTACTTTTAGGTAGGATCTGGGTGTGTGTTTTTAATTAGGAGACCTATGACAGTGTTTAAATACATCCCGAAGTCATATTACGCTGATACTTTTATTTTAATTTTGCTTGATAATTTATTATTAGAGAATTTTTTTATAAATGGCTAACTCAAGATTAAACGTGAACTGTCAGAATATTTGTGGCCTTAGAACAAAAAGTTTCGAATTTAGACAAAACTTATTATGTAATGACCTGGATTTTATCACTAATACTGAAACATGGCTTCACGACGGTATATATGATGGAGATTTATGTGACGGCCGATAGGATGTATTTAGAGTGGATCGTGATCTAGCTCTGAGCGGAAAGGAGTCAGGCTGGGGGTAATGATACTGGCGCGCCGGGAACTTGAAGCTGTGTAGATAGATCTTATTGACTCCCATGCCCCAGAAATATTATTAGTAAAAATACATGCACGCACGCTTTCATCACGTAATGATCATTATTTGTTGGCGGTTTATATACCTCCTGATCCTATAAAAATTTCATTAGATATTAACTACACGCCCTACTTAATCGAACACTGGAATAGTATGAATACCGATAGTCACTTTTTGGTGATGGGCGATTTTAATTTACCTTGTATCAAATGGGACAGAAATGGCCCGCATAATACAAAATATGGTAGCGTGGATGAACAGAATACTGTTATTTTTCTTACGGAAAGTTTAAGTTTTTTTTAACCTTAATCATAATAACATTTAGAAAAATCACGCTGGCAACACGCTTGGTCTTGCATTTTTTAACTTGCCCTTGGAGATAAGCACGTTTACACAAACCATTTATAAATTAGATACCGCTCATCCTCCATTTTATATTCATATTCTTGACGTATCCATGCGACCGTTTAAAGAAATTGCCCCATCTCGATATCGCTTTAGAAAGGGCGACTGTGAGAATATAATGGATTCTCTTAGAGAATACAACTGGCAGGCACTTTTTCGTTCACAAACAACAGAAAACGCCACCTCCATTTTTATACAACTATACATATTATAATTTACAAACTTATTACATTCAGTAATAAATATTCTAAAAATCACAAATATCCTGTATGGTACAGTCCGGCCCTGATTAAAATCATCAAAGAAAAGCTTAAAGCACACAAGCGCTGAAAAAAACTTCACAATGCTAATTTCTTCATAATGCTAGATTATGATGAATTTTGTTTATTACGTGACAGACAATAACGTGTGCATCGTTCGTGCTACGATACATATGTTGCTAATACTGAGTGCGCTAAAAAAGAGTCTCAAAATTTTTTGGTCATATTCGAAATCCTTGCCCCACGTGTCCAATTACCCTAGAAAATTAATGTATAAAGATATAAGTTATACAGATGAAACTTCTATCTGTAATGTCTTTAATATTTTTTTCCGTAGCGTATTTGGCACTCCATCTACTCCAGATCATCACAATTCAGCAGAAAGTGCCTCTTTAAACTCAATATCTAAAATAACCGTATCTAATAGTTTGGTGCAAAATCATTTAAACTCTTTAGACATTAATAAAGGTGCTGGTTGCGATGGGATCCCCCCAATATTCTGAGTCGAATGTGTAAAAGTTCTCGCTGTGCCTATTGCATATATTTTCAATTCTTTTAAAGGTAGGAGGAGTTCTTTAAAGGAGGTGTCTTTCCTGATATATGGCAAAAAGCTCTCATCGAATTCATTCATAAAAAAAGGCTCTAAAACCCAAAAATTATAGAGGTATCTCGATACTCATACATTAAGCAAGGTTTTCGAAAAAAATATCTATAGCAATATCTACCCCATAATAGTCCAACAAATACCCGAGAATCAATACGGTTTCCTTAAAAAGCGATCGACTGTCAGTAACCTAGCTTGTTTCTCAAAATACGTCATTAGTAATATGGAAAATGGTGGGCAGGTTGACGTAACCTTTACGGACTTTGAAAAGGCGTTGAACGGGTAGATCACTCCATACTCTTAAACAAACTAGGGAAACTTGGCATACACGGGGATCTTCTAAGATGGATAGAATCTTACCTAACTGACCGTTCCCAGGCGGTTGTGGTGAATGGATTCAGATCAGATTACACAGAAATAACCTCTGGACTCCCCTAAGGTTCGCACTTGGGACTTCTCTTCTACAATGCGTACATTTACGACTTGCCTAATTGTCTCATGCATTCTAAACATTTGTTGTACGCGGATGATAAAAAGATCTTTTTGAGAATAAATGACATCAATGATTTTTACACAATACGGGCGGAACTGGACGTATTGTATAATTATTACATGACTAATAGAATAACAGTGAATGCCAAAAATGCCGGTGCATATCTTTCACTTGCAAAGCGAACCCCATGTTACACACATATATTTTTTATTGGTGTACACATTGAAAGAGTCAATTTGGTTCGTGACCTGGGAATTTACCTCGATAGCAAAATGTCATTTACTGATCATATTGACTTAGTCACTAAAAAGGCATATAAAATATTGGAATTCGTCTTGCGGGCCTGCAAGGAATTAAAGAATATAGGCTCATAGAAGGTTGTATACTGTGCACATTATGTACGTAGTCTGCTAGAGTACGCTAGTCAGATTTGGTCCCCTCAATACAAGGTCTTTAAAGAACGCCTCGAGCGCATACAAAAATCTTTTTAAGACACATCTCGTACCGGCGTCGTCAGTCGCACGAATCATGTACCCGAGACTGTCACAAAAATAGTCTATTAACTTTGGAAGAAAGACGGAACACACTAGATGTTTTTTTCCTATTTGATATTGTTCGGGACAGAGTAAACTGCTCAGATCTGTTGCATAAAGTAGCATTCGGCTTTTTAAGACACATCTCGTACCAGCGTCGTCAGTCGCACGAATCATGTACCCGAAACTGTCACGAAAATAGTCTATTAACTTTGGAAGAAAGACGGGACACACTAGATGTTTTCTTCCAATTGATATTGTTCGGGACAGAGTAAACTGCTTAGATCTGTTGCATAAAGTAGCATTCTGCGCTCCTAGGCGTCGAACACGTCACACTCCGCTATTAAATGTGCCTCAACGTTGCACTAACTACGGATCTAATACTGTCATAGTTAGGTTACCCCGAACATATAATGCAAAGTTTAGCCAGGTTGACTTATTCCGCTCAAGTAAGTTAACTTTCAAAAAGAAGGTGACGGATATCATCAAAAACTCTTACCAATTGTAAGCGTTATAAACAAAATTTGTACTTTAACCTTTTCCTTTCTTTTTGTCTTTATCTTGTGTCATTATCTCTGTGTATGTCTATAATGGGTGGTACTTATATATTACTTTCGCAAACATGTACAATGTATTTCTCTACTTGATTTGTTTTGTGTCGTGTATAACTACATGAATGAAGGTAACGGATGACATCCTTGAATTCCTTGATATATTTATAGAGTTAACTTTAGCCTAACAAAGTTTGATTGTTACAGTGTCATTTGTTAATTTCGGGCAAACCTGTTATTGGCATTACTACATTACATATAGTTAAAAGATATAAATATAATTTGTAAAGCTGTTGGTTTTCTTAATAAAATAAAAAAATTGGGAGATTTTGACAAGAGCCCTACCCAGCGGATAGTTAATGACAACAGTCACTCAAATTCGTAAGCCACCCAAGCGATCAAAATAACTTGAGACTTATATCAACATCAAAGCACTTGTTCGCCGTTTTCTCTAATAGTTCACACGTTCACAAAATTGCATCATTTTTACGAATCAAAGTCCCCTTCAAACTATTATTCAAGCGACAAAACAGGGGCGACAATCCGTCGAGGGCCAAGTTCCTGCCAAAAACTACATTATAAACGAAGTGATTATATACCATAGATATAAAACGTAGTGGTGATCATACGAGAGAATTATGGAGTAAAAGTTAAGGAGAACCAACTCTGTATTAAAAAGTGTTGGTAGGAAAGCGCTAAATAAGGGTGACGCCACTGTAACTAGAGGGTAAATATCGAAGAACTTTTTATAATTTTTAATTACACAGACTTACCATAATTTTTTTTATAATAATTATTTTATTGTTTTTTCAAAAATTTATTTTCAAAATCGCTCTCAACGTGTTTCAAGGCAACTTCTTCTAGGTTCTATATTTACTAAATAATTTTAGACAAATTGAGTAGTTGAGGACCACACCACAACTTCCCGCCGTCCTATAAAACTAGTTGCTCCGTGTCGTGCGCCATTACTTAAGTGATCGTGCCAGTCAATTGAGTTCCGACAAAAATGCCG